ATAGATTTTTTGTTATTTTAAAAATATAACTATAGTGGCATTTTGAAAAACGCCGCAATAGATTTTTTTTTTTTTATCATCTTTTTTATTTATTATTTTTAGAGTTAGATTTAAAAATAAAAAAATATAGATAAATAATACATTTATTTTTTTCAATTTAAAAAATATATTCAAATTGAAAACTCTTTTTTAACAGAATGTATTCAACAAATATTTAAACTATTTTTTAATTAAAAACACAAACAGAATAACTAAACAAATTGAAAACACAAAGTCTTACAAATTACTAAGGGTGTTCACGGTTTGGCGGTTCGATTGGGGCCAAATGAACCTCAAATTCGTCATCTGCCCAAAACTAGGTAGAATGGAAAAAATCAATCCGCAATCTGAAATCCGCCATTTGTATCAAATTTGTTTTGTTTGTGGTCTAGATTTGTAATCCATTTGGATTATAAAAGGCTTCACATGAGCGGATTGATAGTTTGGGCGAGGAGATGATATTAGAAAATAATTTGTTCGGTTTAGGGTGTTACCGAACGATTGGCTAATCCTTCGGCCAAGTGCAATTTTTTATTTTTTTAACTACATTTAGGGCGGTACATTTTGAACATTAATATTTAATTTTTGGTTAAGTAAAAACCATTATTTTTATTTATTTTATTATTTTATATAAAAATAATTTAATAATCTCCGCACTAACAACTATGATCAAAACAAATATAATTTTATTTAATTTCCTCGCTATCAATCCCTTTCATTCTTTCTGAAAACAAACGGACCTTACTTATATTTAAAATTTTATTTTATTTTGTATTATTATCTTACACTTTTTTAATTTGTGCCCTTATAAATTATTATTTAATAATCAATTCTAAAGTTATAAGGTCCGTTTGTTTTCAGAAAAAATGAAAGGAATTGATAGTGAGGTGATTAAATTAAATTATATTTGTTTTGATAATAGTTGTTAGTGCGGAAATTATTAAATTATTTTTATATAAAATAATAAAATAAATAAAAATAATGGTTTTTACTTAAATATTAATGTTCAAAATGTACTGCCCAAAATGTAGTAAAAAAATAAAAAATTGCACTTGGCCGAAGGATTAGCCAATCGTTCGGTAACACCCTAAACCGAACAAATTATTTTCTAATATCATCTCCTCGCCCAAACTATCAATCCGCTCATGTGAAGCCTTTTATAATCCAAATGGATTACAAATCTAGACCACAAACAAAACAAATTTGATACAAATGGCGGATTTCAGATTGCGGATTGATTTTTTCCATTCTACCTAGTTTTGGGCAGATGACGAATTTGAGGTTCATTTGGCCCCAATCGAACCGCCAAACCGTGAACACCCTTAGTAATTTGTAAGACTTTGTGTTTTCAATTTGTTTAGTTATTCTGTTTGTGTTTTTAATTAAAAAATAGTTTAAATATTTGTTGAATACATTCTGTTAAAAAAGAGTTTTCAATTTGAATATATTTTTTAAATTGAAAAAAATAAATGTATTATTTATCTATATTTTTTTATTTTTAAATCTAACTCTAAAAATAATAAATTAAAAAGATGATATATGATGGTTGATTTTTATTTTCAAAAACAGATATAGATGTAATAATACAGAAGCATACAATCTCTACCACTGCTCTGTTCATGGTTTTGGTGGTTTGAATTATTTTTATATTTTAAAAATCACATATTGTAATACTTTACATAATACTTTATGTAGATGAGACATGTGATTATAATATGTAGATGAGACATATTGGTTGATTATAATACTTTACATAATACTTTCAGACTTTCTTTCTTTGAAAGAGGCATGCAGTGATTGTAATACTTTTTTAAGTCATTGACTATAATATTTTTTTTTTTTTGAAAAGTGCACAAGTTGAATTATGTTAAAAATTTATAAAATTTTAAACTGCCAAATCGATTTGCATCCATCTATTAATCTACCAATCCGCTCAATCTACATCCGTCGGATTGGCGGACGAATGCAGATTGATTTTTTCCAATCCGCCAATCTGGCGGACTAGAGGTTCTGTGGCCGCAATTGACCCACGCCCACCCCTAATACAAACTCTTAACATTTTGCAAGGAGAAAAAAAATCATCCAACCACAATCATGAAAGTGAAGAAAACTAATATAATTTTTCTGGAGGCCTCCTTACATTTAAAGAGAAAATATGTTATGAAGAAGTGTTATTTTATTTTTAGGTAATTCTGCTGTTAGTGATTTTCTATTTTCTTATACACTATCTTGATTGAAGCATGTGGCTTTACAATTTGATGATTTGAATTGTTATTTGATGGATTCTTTTTTATCAATAATGGATTTACTATATATGCATGAGTTTTTACACAGAAGATTTTGCAAAGGAATGGGTTTTCACTTTTCATTGCCACCGACGGATGGTAATCTAGTATCCCAATCAAAGCAACAGTTCTTAGGACTAAGAAAAAAACTAATAACATTCAAAAAATAAATAAATAAATCAACCAAAGTGAAAAAAATTATATATTTTTTCTTGAAACCTCCTAACATTTAAAGAGAAAATATGTTGTATTCATGCAAACCTGGATAGTATGGTGAAGACGATGGAGAGTCTCTGACGAACGTAATGAAAAGTCTTCTGCGAAAGTAAGCTTCTAGGGTTTTTGAGACACCGACAGTTGAGAGTTTGACTGTAAAAAGAAATCAAAGTAAAATAAACTATAAGATCATAAACGATGTAGTTTTGAATTTAGATTTTCTTATATTCTATACTATTATATTAAGTGAGCCACTACAAAAAAGTTGGAAGATAGTATCAACTATAGCACGAGGGAAATAGTCAGAGCCCATTAATCTCCTTTTATTTTATTTTTGGTAATTATAGCCCTATACCTTGATGAGATAACTAAATCATGCCATGAAGTCTAAATGGTTACATGTTCTCATAAATTTCAAACTATTAATAAACTAACACCATAGGGCAATGCCCTCATAAACATCAAACTATTAATAAACTAACACCATAGAGTAAAACAAAACCACATAGCCACAATCAATTCCATCTAAAAGTTTAAGCTCTGCAAAAAATAACAGATCCAGACAAATGCCATTCAGCATTTCAAAATTGATAGGAGGCTTTGATCCTCAACCTCCAACTAAAAATAACACCATTTAACTTTTTGCATCCCATTGCTAGAATGGGCAAAAAAAAAATGAACAGGATAACCATTTCTTACAAAAACAGGACCGAAGAGCCACAGAAAAACCTGGCCTCGTTTCATAATAATGTTGAATAGCAGAGAAACAGTAGAGCCAGTGACGGAAAAACTCTTAGTACGAGAACTTAAAATTATATCATATCATATCCACTTAGGCCATGTTTGATTCACAACACTAATAGTGAGGTATTAATAATCTTATTAAATTAGTGTGGTATTAGTTATCCCACCCCTACCCCATTACTAATAATCCTACAAATTTGTTGGATTAATTATCCATTGGATTAATAATCTTAAACTAAAATGTCAAAACAAACATAGGATGATTGGACCCACGGATTAATAATCCCAATCCTATGCTTTAATCCTTCCAATCAAACATGCCATTAAAGACAACTACAAACATGAACCAAATCAAAATTTTCATGAAAGCTGAACAAAAATAGAAAAGCAGTAGCTAGTAGGTTGCCTAGAATATATATCAAATAATGAACCGAAAAAATATCAAATAATGATTCTTGAGAAGGGAAGAGAAAAACAGAGCAGAGCAGAGAAGAGACAAGAATAGAACAATACCTTCGATCGCCACTGCCGCCGCTCGCTACCGATCATAAACCCTAATTACTGAATATTTTTAAAAATTAATAAATACATAAAAATACAAAAAATGTATTGAATTCTTGTATTTTTTTATATTTTTGATATTTAGTGAATTTTTAAAAGATTTTTTTTACAATTTTTTTACTTTGTAGGTGTATTTATGTTAGGTGTGTCTAAAAAGTAAAAAAAAAAATTGCTTAAAATATAAAAAAAATTCAGTAAAAATAAAAAAAAATACGGAAAATAAGAAAGTAGAATTTTCTGAAAAGTGTTTTTTGAAAAGTGGAAACAAAAAATAAACAAAGTTTGTTTGAAAATTTGATAATTTATTTAGAATTTTAATATAACTCAAAAAAATAAATTTGAGAATGATAGGGAAGCGGGGGGACATAGGGAAAAAGCGCAAAAACATCTCTCGTGTGTGTCCCACAAAGTTTGTTTGAAAATTTAATAATTTATTTAGAATTTTAATCCGTGTTTGGTTTGAGTTTTCTGCATTAAGTTTTTTGAAAATTGACTATTTTAATTTTTATATTGCATTAAGTTTTTTAAAAATTGACTATTTTAATTTTTATATTCTTTTATTTTTAGTGAATATTTTTAAAATTTTAAATATTTTTTTTACTTTTTTAGATGCAGCTTACTTAGATGTATCTAAAAAGTAAAAAATTTATGAAAAAATATTTTTAAAAATTAATAAATACATAAAAATACAAAAAATGTATTGAATTCTTGTATTTTTTTATATTTTTGATATTTAGTGAATTTTAAAAGATTTTTTTTACAATTTTTTTACTTTGTAGGTGTATTTATGTTAGGTGTGTCTAAAAAGTAAAAAAAAAAAATTGCTTAAAATATTAAAAAAATTCAGTAAAAATAAAAAAATACGGAAAATAAGAAAGTAGAATTTTCTGAAAAGTGTTTTTTGAAAAGTGGAAAGAAAAAATAAACAAAGTTTGTTTGAAAATTTGATAATTTATTTAGAATTTTAATATAACTCAAAAAAATAAATTTGAGAATAATATATACACTTTAAAAAATAAAAGAAGATTTCCCGAATTAAAAAGTAAAAAGATTGGGGAGAGGGAATAATATATAGGGGGATTTTTTTTAAGGCCCCTAGTATTAAGATTTTATAACATAAAGGACACTCAATATTTTCATAATGTCTAGGTCCCTTAACATCGATCCAGAGAAAATTCGGCCCAGAGAAAATCTGATCCAGAGAAATTCTGAAAATTTCTATGGACTTCACTCTTCAAAGAAAATCTGAACTTTCCAGAGAAATTTCTAACTCAAGCCTTCATCTTTGTCTAGAGAAATTCTAAGAAGTCCAGAGAAATTCCTAAAGCCTTCATCATCTTCTTTGTCTAGAGAAATCCTGAGAAGTCCAGAGAAATTTCTCTCCAGAGAAATTCCTAAAGCCTTCATCATCTTCTTTGTCCAGAGAAATTCTAAGAAGTATAGAGAAATTCTAGACTTCCCAAAGAAATTTCTAAAGCCTTCATCGTCTTCTTTGTCTAGCGAAATTCTGAGAAGTCCAGAGAAATTTCTCTCCAGAGAAATTCTAGACTTCTCAGAGAAATTCCTAGAGCCTTCATCATCTTCTTTGTCCAGAGAAAATTCTGAGTAGTCCAGAAAAATTTCTCTGCAGAGAAATTCTGGACTTCCCAGAGAAATTCCTAAAACCTTCATCATCATCTTCTTTGTTCATCTTCTTCTTCCTATAGAGAAATTCTGGGAATCCAAAAAAATTCCAAAACAAAATCAGTTCCCAAAATATGCCTTGGAATAAACAATTCCCATGTTTAATCATTTAATTTATTTTCTTTAAAAAAAATAAAAATTGATGTTGTTTGCTTTGCCATGGAGATGGTCAGCTTAATACAAAAACTAAAAACTTAGTTGGAAAGGAGAAATAAAAAAACGAGAGAATCAATTGCAGATATATATTTTTGAGCTTCATCTTCCAAGTTATGCAATTCGTAATATAGAAATTCAACTCAATCAATCAAAATTTATATATTTGTCTCATATAATAGTGTATAGAATTATACATACATATATATATATATATTTGTGTGTATGTATATATATTAAACATCCTCAACTAAGAAGGTAGATTCAATTTAGAAAACAAGCCAAATATCTCATGTAGCGTGTAGTGCACCCAACCCAACCATAACCTTCACTGGGTATCTTGTTCAAGGTAGGCTTATCCTCAAAATCAATCATTTCATGCGGCGTCGTTGAACCACGGTGGAAGACCTTCATACGGCGGTTCAATCGGAGCAAGAGTGGCCGAGAAGTTCTTGACATAGGGATCTTGGATTGATCGAGCTGGATCGACGAGAGAGAGAGAGAAGAGCAGTGAGCAGAGAGAAGAGGTGAGGCATGAGTTTGAGAGAGAGAGAAGTGAAGGTTTGAAGCCGTGAGGTATACCAAATTTCTCTGTAATACATGGGTGTGAGGTTGAGGGACCTTAGACATCATAAAATAATATTGTGGATCTCTTCTATTACTAAAAATGGGAGAGGGACCTTACACTAATTTTTCCTAATATATACACTTCAAAAAATAAAAGAATATTTTCCGAATTAAAAAGTAAAAAGATTTCAAGGTCTCCTCATGTATATCATCTATATATAAAAAAATAAAATAAAATAAAAAAATTTAAGATGATTCCATAATCGTAATATTTTTATTTTATCATATTTTTCCTTAAAAAATAGACAAGTATATTTTTAAAAATAAATCATTTTTTTTAAAGACAAATGTGAGATAAAATTAATATGTTATAATTATTGAATCAATTTAATTTTTTTTATATATAAATAATATACTCGAAGAATCATAAAAAATGATCAAACAACACCTCTCTAGTTAAGATGAGGACGGGAGAGAAGCATACCCCAAGCTTTATATTACATTGGGGTTGTTTGGCCCAGCTTTTTTTACCCAACTTATAACTTTTAGCTTAAAACAAGCTAAAACTAACTGTTTGTTCCAGCTTAATCATACCAACTTAAACTTATAATAGCTTTTTTTGAAGGTAAATAATCTGATTTTGAGAATCTGCTTCAAGGGTGCTTCTGATTCTCAACTTAAGCGGAAGAGGGTCAAAATTACTTAAATGCCCTTCACCAATTTGAAGTATTACCAAATTGCCATTATATAAACCACAAAGATATCACTGTTCTCTCTGAAAGAGAGAGATGGCGATTTCCGACGATGAAAGGAGATTTCCGGTGAAGCTCTCTCTCTCTATTCGCCGATGTGCCTTTCCTCTCTCTCTCTCTCTCTTCGTCTGCCACAGCATACTTATGCCATCGTTGTCAACGCCTCTGCAACAATTGTCAATCTCCTCCTCCGTGGCTTCAGGGACACCACCATAGCGCCTTTTTCTGCTTCACGTCTTCTTCTCATGGCATCGCCACCATCATACTCAACCACCACTGCTATATGTCTCTTTCTCTCCTACTCTTTCTACAACCGTCGCAATCGCCATGATCTTCCTCGCGATTCGCCATCATTGCAACCCTCAAGACCAAATCGCAACAACAAGCTCCTCAGATCTAGGGTTTTTTGTAGTGGTAGAGGAGATGGATGAGCTGAGAGAGGGCTTCTTGCAGACCATCGATGGTGGCTAGGTGTAACAACCCACATTTTATGTCCTAGTCATGTTTGCATGTATTTGTATGTTTTGCCATGTTAAGTTGCTGTAACAACCCATATTCATGTCATAGTCAATTTTCCAGTTCATTTATATAGCTTTGTCTTGTTAAGTTTGCATTCATAAATCTTGTCTTGTTTTGTGTTTATGTGATTTGTCTAAGTGTTGCTTGCATGCCTTGTCTCTTTCCTACTATGTTAAGCCTAAGTTATGTTAAGCCGAAGTTATGCCAAGCCTAGGTTACGTTACGCCTAGATCATTCCAAGCCGAGGTCATCTTCAGTCTAAAAGTATCTTGGAACCCCTTTGTTTGACCTCCACCTTCGTCCTGGCATATTGGCCGAGATGTCATTATCTAGGCCGAGATGTGTATTATCTAGGCCGAGATGTTAACTTTGCACCTGAGTGACCTTGTCCTGGAGTGGTATGACCTAGACCGAGGTGTGGCACATCTAGGCCAAGGTGTGGCACAGCTTAGTCAAGTGTTGTCCTTCCTAGCCGAGGTCATTGTCACCTTAGTTGCCGAAGCGGTGCCACAAAGCTTATAGTCCCCTGGCACGTACGGACTTCCCGAGAACGTCACCCAAAACAAACTTATACTTGATACGCAAAACTTATACTTGATAACATAAAATAGGGATATCATTCATGCTTAAAACAATACTTTTATATACAAACAAGGCAAAGCTAATCAAAACCTTATAACATAACTTTATTAAAAATACCACTCACATAGTTCTTGGGACGTCGGGGTCAAGGCAAAGGTCCAGGTCCTACAAACACATGGCAAAGCATACTGAATGCACTTCTAAACAAGTCTTACATGTATGCAATGATCTCGGGAAAACATGCTGGAAGTCAAAACACTGTTTTACATGTCAGGAAGACATGCTGGGTACCAACCAGGTCTTTGCCGAGGTCCCACACCTCCTGGCCGAGATGTGCTACCTAGGCTTCGGCGTGGGCTGCATGCCGAGGTGCGCACAAGACAACTAAAGTGTAAGTGATCATGCAAGGTAGGCAAAGGTAAGATATGATGCTTGGCCTAAGTGTGAGGTCTAGGTGAGAGTGATCTGGCGCGACTACATTTCGGGAAATGAGGTCTGGAGATCTGGTTTCCACCCGTGAAGAACAAGAAGAAACATGAACATGAAGATCGTGAAGAACATGATGCTAAAATCATAACTTCTATTTCAAAAATTTGGAGATTTCAATGCTATGAGTTCGAAACATGGAGCCTGGGTCCCATACTTGAAGATCATGTGAAA